GCTGGCGTCGTTCACTTTTAATATTCTGCATTATTTACTTTTATGACCAAACCAGACCACTGGACTCATGTGGTGTAAACATTATGTCAAGTGTAAGATAATGTAGTAAGAGGTTACCACAGTGAACCTCTTGTAGTGAACCTTTGTTATAGTAATGAACATGTTAGTGAACCTTTGTTATAGTAATGAACCTCTTGTAGTGAACCTTTGTTATAGTAATGAACATGTTATTATAGTGAACCTCTTGTAGTGAACCTTTGTTATAGTAATGAACATGTTATTATAGTGAACCTCTTGTAGTGAACCTTTGTTATAGTAATGAACATGTAGTGAACCTCTTGTAGTGAACCTTTGTTATAGTAATGAACATGTTATTATAGTGAACCTCTTGTAGTGAACCTTTGTTATAGTAATGAACATGTTATTATAGTGAACCTCTTGTAGTGAACCTTTGTTATAGTAATGAACATGTTATTATAGTGAACATGTTGTAGTGAACCTTTGTTATAGTAATGAACATGTTGTAGTGAACCTTTGTTATAGTAATGAACATGTTATTATAGTGAACCTCTTGTAGTGAACCTTTGTTATAGTAATGAACATGTTGTAGTGAACCTGTTGTAGTGAACCTTTGTTATAGTAATGAACATGTTGTAGTGAACCTTTGTTATAGTAATGAACATGTTATTATAGTGAACCTCTTGTAGTGAACCTTTGTTATAGTAATGAACATGTTATTATAGTGAACCTCTTGTAGTGAACCTCTTGTAGTGAACCTTTGTTATAGTAATGAACATGTTATTATAGTGAACATGGAATAGTGAACCTCTTGTAGTGAACCTTTGTTATAGTAATGAACATGTTATTATAGTGAACCTCTTGTAGTGAACCTTTGTTATAGTAATGAACATGTTATTATAGTGAACCTCTTGTAGTGAACCTTTGTTATAGTAATGAACATGTTATTATAGTGAACATGTTGTAGTGAACCTTTGTTATAGTAATGAACATGTTATTATAGTGAACCTCTTGTAGTGAACCTTTGTTATAGTAATGAACATGTTATTATAGTGAACCTCTTGTAGTGAACCTTTGTTATAGTAATGATCATGTTATTATAGTGAACACGGAATAGTGAACCTCTTGTAGTGAACCTTTGTTATAGTAATGAACATGTTATAGTGAACATGTTGTAGTGAACATGTTGTAGTGAACCTTTGTTATAGTAATGAACATGTTATCCATAATATTAGAAACCTTCCATATGAAGAAAGACTGAAAAGCTTAGGCTTGCATTCATTAGAGAGGCGTAGAGTTAGGAGAGATATGATAGAGGTGTTCAAGTGGGTAAGTGGGATTAACAAGGGTAAAATGGAAGATGTTCTGAAGCTCAGTAATAACGAAATAACTAGAACAAATGGCTTTAAATTAGATAAATTCCGATTCAGAAAGGATATAGGCAAGCACTGGTTTGGTAATAGAGTTGTGGATATGTGGAATAGGCTACCGAGTGCTATAGTAGGATCGGGGACGCTAGGGAGCTTCAAGACGAAGTTGGATAGGCACATGGAAGTGCTGGGATGGGTGTGAAAGGGATCTACCCTGTATGGGCCAGTCGGCCTCCTGCAGTATCCCACTTCTTATGTTCTTATGTTCTAAACGGGACTGCCCAGTATGGGCCAATAGGCCAGCTGCAGTTTCCTCCACCATTCCTCTTCCACCAGTATGTTCTTATCTAGTATGAACTTTTGGTTGCAGTCCTCTACCATCCTCCTCACGGCCACCAGTACAACATCTAGTATCAACTTTTGGAATCAAGTCTATATATAAACTTAGTATGTGTGTAAAATACATACTTGCAATCTCGTCAGATTCGGAACAAATTACCTACCTTCTGCTTGCCACCAATATAGGCAATAGTAGCATCGACGTAATGAACAGATAAGAAAAAAGTCATCCTCGTCCCACTTTGCATAAATATTCCTTGGAGCAACATGAAAAAAATATCCAAAGAGACACTTTGTCTCTTTGCATAGAACCCACTAATTAGCATAAATTATGCTAATTAGCACCAGAAAGAAGGCAATTTCTAACATTTAAACCATTTCACCTAGAAACATGTGTGATTAGTTGAACATGGCTAATTTTAGGGTCAGGAATCCATTTGGGGAGTTATTTTGACAATTGGCGGCCATTTTGACTAAAATCTAAGAGGGCCACTGACCGCCATCTTGAATCTAATAAACGAAATCATAGTGCTCATAATAATATTGAGCACTTACAGTATATCTGATAGGCAGCTCTGAGGATGTGTTGGTGTAGTGCGTCACTGCTGGGAGGCATATGATCAAAGTCCCGACCCTTGTGAAAGAAGAGATGCAAATGCGCAGTATCCACTGTTGTTATGCCCTCATCCACAACACCACAGAGCTGCATCACAAATTGATGGAGGACGGGGTGTGTCGCTCAATCATCTCCAATGTTGAGTTGGAACAGGACATCAGTGCTGTCAATTTAGCCATACTCAGAACAGTACCAGATCCACGGTGGTCCCCAATGTAATCAAGAAGCTCATTGAAAGCTTGAGCTTAAATTACTTTGGCAGCATAGCTTTCATTTGAATCACGATCAACTACATCTGCCTTTCTTTAAACTTTACTCAGGCATGCACGGTGGTACACATCATCTATCGCAATCATGTCCCCTTTTGACAGTTTGCTCTGAAGTTTCACATTACCTATTTTCTTTGGAGCATCATTGAATCTCTGGTTTATTCCAAGAGTGGAAACTTTTCTCAACTCCTTCTTGTCTTCAGACTCTTCACAAAAGAAGCATTTTGTTGCAGAATAGTCCTTGCCTTCAGTTGATGTAACATGGGACTCCTGTGTGACATAAACTCTGCCAGAGCTCATCCGCCGTGTTTTCATTGGGCTTCCTTGGTGTTTACTTCTCTCTACCTCACTCTTGGCTCGCTCCACCTTCTGTTTGTTGACGGCTCTTCTGCAATTTTTGTGGCACACTGTGCAGTTAGTTTTCATAAGTTCTACTTTTCTGCTTGCATCAATGTCATCTAGTGTTATGAAGCTGGGTAACTCACCTAACTCATAGAGCTCTGAGATATTGTCCAGAAGTTTTTGGTAACATGCTTCTAGTTTCTTGGGTTGGCCACGTAATTTTATAGATGATGCAGGATCTGCAACTGCTTCATTTGTATCTGACTGACATATAAGACATAAGGTCCAGTCAAGTGTATCCAATCTGGTCATTTTGAATCAACTATCTTTCATTGTAATCAATAATGTAACCTGAAAATACAAAAACAAAAAGTCATACATTCAAATGGTTGTCCTTAATGAATTCAAATTTTAGGATGTACTCGAAGATAAATTTGATTCATCATGCTTTTCTGATATAGCCAATAACAGCTATCTTGGAATGCACTTTTAAATATCCTTTTAAATAACCCCCTATCACAAAAGTAATACCAGAAATGAGTTTATCAACACCAAATTAGTAGAAATTTATATATCACAAGTTTGTAGCTCAAACGGTTCCAAAGTTGTAAAGTATGCCCATATTGTAGGTAGTAGGTAGCTATCAAACAGGGAGGTACTACCGCCTGGGAAGATATTGGAACATTATGCTAATGGTAGACCCTGCTGCCATATGGCATCACAAAAATTGTGACCAAGTCCCACGTTGCTGATCTGACTTTCTGCCTCATTTACGCACAATTGCAGGGTCTCAATTGTTTCTCTTACTATGACAACACAACATACATACTGTGTATATCGTTTCTCACTCTTGATTGATTTTTTCGCTTTTGTATTTATTTTTGGTTATTATTATTATTTTTATTTTTTGTTATAATTTTTATCTATTTTTATTAATTATTATTATTATTATTATTATTATTATTATTATTATTATTATTATTATTATTATTATTATTATTATTATTATTATTATTATTATTATTGTTATTATTATTTATTTATTATTATTATTGTTATTTATTATTATTATTATTATTATTATTTTATTATTATTATTATTATTATTATTATTATTATTATTTATTATTATTATACTTTCTTCCCCCTGGCTCTGATGTGGGTCAGTGACCTGTGCTCGGGTGGGCTAATCCCCCTATAAAAAAAATCAAGATGGCGGCCAGTGGCCATCTTGGATTTGAGGGTCAAAATGGCCGCTAATTGTCAAAATAACCCTCCAAGTGGTTTCCTGACCCTAAAATTAGCCAGGTTCAACTAATCACACATGTTTCTAGGTGAAATGGTTTAAATGTTAGAAAGTGCCTTCTTTCTGGTGCTAATTAGCATAAATTATGCTAATTAGTGGGTTCTATACATAGAGACAAAGAGTCTTTGGAAAACAAATTTCCGCTTGCTCCAAGGAACACTTATGCCAAGTGGGACCTTTGCACTATGAAATGCAGTGTTCACTCCCCTAGCAAGTCTAGTAAGGGACTCTGCATCAGGTGTGTGTGTGTGTGTGTGAGTGTGTGTGTGTGTGTGTGTGTGTGTGTGTGTTTGTTGTTAGGTTAGGTTAGGTTAGGTTAGAGCGGTTCGTCTTGTGATCATACTAACTTTATACATAGTGAAGCTTTTTATATTAACTTTGATATATTGGTGCAGGTGCCTTAATTATCTGGGAGGACTGGTACGTTACCTTGATGACTCTCTCTCTCTCTCTCTCTCTCTCTCTCTCTCGTAATAATAACAACACTAAACCACTGTTAGCCCCAGAGATCAATCCCTGAGTTTCCAGACCCTGCCGCGTGGAGGCCAGTGGTTAGAGGGTCCATTTTTTTTTTTTTTTTTTTTGTCATATGTGGGGGGGTGGGGGGGTCAGAAATAGGGCCTCTCAGAAGTCAGAGTTGTAACAAATGTGGGGGTGGGGTCAAGAGAGTAAGGGCCTCTCAGAAGTCAGAGTTGTAACAAATGTGGGGGTGGGGGGGGGGTCAAGAGAGTAAGGGCCTCTCAGAAGTCAGAGTTGTAACAAATGTGGGTGGAGCTTTTGACCAGGTTAACCAGGTCTCTTACACCTTGGTCCACCTGGTCAGGGAGACCGGTCACAGTGACCTCATCGCTTATAACATTTTTGGGGGGCAGAACGATGGTTATTCTACGGGTTAGTGATAGGTACCGTATATTTTGACCCTGTCTGCCAATTATTAGGCCGTGATGGGCCTTAGGGATGAACACTGTTTGTGACACTGGCGTACTGAGACGCCGCCTTTCCTTTTCATAGGCCATCAAGGACTCTATATGATCCGCGGCATCCTGCACCAGGCCTTTATCTGGCCCTACAACCCGTAGGGGCTGGTCCTTGGACCCCTTGTGAGGAACAAAGACCCTTACTTTGTACTTTTCCTGGATCTCTTTTATGGTAGAGCCACCTGGGCCTACCACAACCCCTAACATGTTGTTAGGAGCAGTGATGGTCACTGTCGTGGTCACAGCCTTTTGAACCAGGGCTTTTATGTGATCCGCGGCATCGTGGACGAGGCCTTTATCTAGCCCTACAACCCGTAGGGGCTGGTCCTTGGACCCCTTCTGAGGAACAAAGACCCGTACTTTGTACTTTTCCTGGATCTCTTTTATGGTAGAGCCACCTGGGCCTACCACAACCCCTAACATGTTGATAGGAGCAGTGATGGTCACTGTCGTGGTCACAGCCTTTTGAACCAGGGCTTTTATGTGATCCGCGGCGTCGTGGACGAGGCCTTTATCTAGCCCTTCAACCCGTAGGGGCTGGTCCTTGGACCCCTTCTGAGGCACAAAGACCCGTACTTTGTACTTTTCCTGGATCTCTTTTATGGTAGAGCCACCTGGGCCTACCACAACCCCTAACATGTTGTTAGGAGCTTTGATGGTCACTGTCGTGGTCACAGCCTTTTGAACCAGGGCTTTTATGTGATCCGCGGCATCTTGCACAAGGCCTTTATCTAGCCCTACAACCCGTAGGGGCTGGTCCTTGGACCCCTTCTGAGGGACAGAGACGCGAACATTATACTTTTCCTAAATCTCTTTTATGGTAGAGCCACCTGGGCCTACCACAACCCCTAACATGTTGTTAGGAGCTTTGATGGTGACCTCCGTCGTCTCCTGCACCCACTGGCCCCTCATACGAGCCAGTTGGGGTGTCACTGTTGGACCCTTGGCCTTCTTCTCGGTCATTTTAGTGACGGGCTGGTGCTGGCGTCGTTCACTTTTAATATTCTGCATTATTTACTTTTATGACCAAACCAGACCACTGGACTCATGTGGTGTAAACATTATGTCAAGTGTAAGATAATGTAGTAAGAGGTTACCACAGTGAACCTCTTGTAGTGAACCTTTGTTATAGTAATGAACATGTTATTATAGTGAACCTCTTGTAGTGAACCTTTGTTATAGTAATGAACATATTATTGTAGTGAACCTCTTGTAGTGAACCTTTGTTATAGTAATGAACATGTTATTATAGTGAACCTCTTGTAGTGAACCTTTGTTATAGTAATGAACATGTTATTATAGTGAACCTCTTGTAGTGAACCTTTGTTATAGTAATGAACATGTTATTATAGTGAACATGTTGTAGTGAACCTTTGCTATAGTAATGAACATGTTGTAGTGAACCTTTGTTATAGTAATGAACATGTTATTATAGTGAACCTCTTGTAGTGAACCTTTGTTAAGTAATGAACATGTTGTAGTGAACCTGTTGTAGTGAACCTTTGTTATAGTAATGAACATGTTGTAGTGAACCTTTGTTATAGTAATGAACATGTTATTATAGTGAACCTCTTGTAGTGAACCTTTGTTATAGTAATGAACATGTTATTATAGTGAACCTCTTGTAGTGAACCTTTGTTATAGTAATGAACCTTTGTTATAGTAATGAACATGTTATTATAGTGAACCTCTTGTAGTGAACCTTTGTTATAGTAATGAACCTTTGTTATTGTAATATAGTGAACCTATAGTGAACTTATGTTAGTGAACCTCTTGTAGTTATAGTAATGAACATGTTATTATAGTGAACCTCTTGTAGTGAACCTTTGTTATAGTAATGAACATGTTATTATAGTGAACCTCTTGTAGTGAACCTTTGTTATAGTAATGAACATGTTATTATAGTGAACCTCTTGTAGTGAACCTTTGTTATATAGTAATGAACATGTTATTATAGTGAACATGGAATAGTGAACCTCTTGTAGTGAACCTTTGTTATAGTAATGAACATGTTATTATAGTGAACCTCTTGTAGTGAACCTTTGTTATAGTAATGAACATGTTATTATAGTGAACCTCTTGTAGTGAACCTTTGTTATAGTAATGAACATGTTATTATAGTGAACATGTTGTAGTGAACCTTTGTTATAGTAATGAACATGTTATTATAGTGAACCTCTTGTAGTGAACCTTTGTTATAGTAATGAACATGTTATTATAGTGAACCTCTTGTAGTGAACCTTTGTTATAGTAATGATCATGTTATTATAGTGAACACGGAATAGTGAACCTCTTGTAGTGAACCTTTGTTATAGTAATGAACATGTTATAGTGAACATGTTGTAGTGAACATGTTGTAGTGAACCTTTGTTATAGTAATGAACATGTTATCCATAATATTAGAAACCTTCCATATGAAGAAAGACTGAAAAGCTTAGGCTTGCATTCATTAGAGAGGCGTAGAGTTAGGAGAGATATGATAGAGGTGTTCAAGTGGGTAAGTGGGATTAACAAGGGTAAAATGGAAGATGTTCTGAAGCTCAGTAATAACGAAATAACTAGAACAAATGGCTTTAAATTAGATAAATTCCGATTCAGAAAGGATATAGGCAAGCACTGGTTTGGTGATAGAGTTGTGGATATGTGGAATAGGCTACCGAGTGCTATAGTAGGATCGGGGACGCTAGGGAGCTTCAAGACGAAGTTGGATAGGCACATGGAAGTGCTGGGATGGGTGTGAAAGGGATCTACCCTGTATGGGCCAGTCGGCCTCCTGCAGTATCCCACTTCTTATGTTCTTATGTTCTAAACGGGACTGCCCAGTATGGGCCAATAGGCCAGCTGCAGTTTCCTCCATTCTTATGTTCTTATGTTCTTATTATCTTGGAGTGAGACAGTTCCTCTCTCTGTTGCTCCCTACCATCCTCCTCACGGCCACCAGTACAACATCTAGTATCAACTTTTGGAATCAAGTCTATATATAAACTTAGTATGTGTGTAAAATACATACTTGCAATCTCGTCAGATTCGGAACAAATTACCTACCTTCTGCTTGCCACCAATATAGGCAATAGTAGCATCGACGTAATGAACAGATAAGAAAAAAGTCATCCTCGATCTAAATACTAATCATAAGAGTAAATAAATTTAATCTGTGTCTAAATATCCGACAGATATGAATATCACGACGCTAAGCTGCTGTGTTAAGGATTTTTCTTTCGTAAGGTGGGAATTAAGAAGGGTCGGAGAGGGGGAGTTGCGAGTCACAACATGAAGAGGTAAAGGAACATAAAGGCAAGATTTCGGTCATTTGTGTTTTGGTCTGTAGAGGTTAAATAGGGAATCAGTTTTTAATATCACCTAAAGCTTTTATTCCTTGGTGATAGGAGAGGAGGCTTGGGAGAAGAGGCGTTTGCGAAAAGTGAAAACTAAGAAGTTAATATATTTATCTTTCATTGTCTTTCTTTGTTCTTCCATCTATTTCTTCGCGAATCATCTGGCGAACTATGCCACCTTCAAGCACACGTACTCGTAAAAAGTCCTATTGAGTTCTCCACTGAAACTTTCTCTGTCTGGTTAAAATAAAAACGAACGCTTTTTGCAAGTATAGTCCACTGTTGTTGTGAATGTATTTAACACATGGATTACACTTTTTGTCATGAAACTATAAAAGCTCGGTGAATTTCTATGTAAGAAATTCTCTCTATCTTACCATTTCAGTGCTGTCGCATGAACATTGCCTGGCCTTCTATAAGGTGATGACATGAGTTAGCTTACCTCAAGGGTCAGTGAAGTGATTGCACCAACGCATCTTCGAGGTCGTACTGTTTCGTCATCTGTATTGCGAATGAGATCACAACCGCTCTCACTTCCTTGTGTTCAGTATGTACGTGTGTGTGGGGGGTGGGGGGGCTAGATTGAAGAATGGATGTTGTGTGTTTGTGTTTTTAGGTGCGTGAGTGAATGTGCGTCTCTGTGAGTTGAACAGTGTGGCATTTTGTTTGTCTGCCGAGGATGGGCGATGAAATGTTTAAGAATGAATATGTTTCAGCCTGGGAAAACTTCTCATTGGGTGTGAACATTAATGAAAAACTGGCCAACGGATCGTGACGCAACTTTGTAAAAGGGCTGAGGAAAATTCTTCAAATTTTGAAAAGGAGAGTTAGACTAGGAGGGAGTGATATCCACAAAGATCCCAGTTCCAATTGCTAGCATTCCTATTCTCATGCATAACATGAAACGAATTGGAGTAGCCGGAATTTTTCATCCCAAGCAGCTAGATCGACGCCTCCAAAGTACATTAAGCAAATCCACTGGGACAAGTCATCATAAGATGATTGCCTCAGACATACTCAAGAGGGCATTGAATGACCTGGAGAGCTCTCGTCTGAGAGCAGTGAGTGCTCGTCATGCTGAGGACTTCCTACTAGCCACCCCCAAACTTCTGCATAGGCATTCGCCTCGATCCACAGACCATCCATGGTGGAATAGCCTTTCGTCTTGTGGCTCCTATCCACACTGTTTACAAGCATTTTCCTCCAACTTCTGGTCAAACGGAAGCTTCCTCCAATTTCCGGCTTATTTTCTGAGAGTGGGAGAACTTCCGTACCCTTTTATTTCCTGCAGTTAAACTGGACTTATGACCGGGGTCATAAGAAACTCTTTACTATCTCTGATTTTAAATAAAATAAATAATAATGTTTGTCTTCACCTTAGTATAATTGGTAACCAATAAGGACTGGTGAATATTAACGTTTAATTGTTATTTCCCGATGATTAATAAACTGTCATTTGATTTTCTACCGCATGGCGCATCGCTTCACCAGAATAGTAGCGGAAGCGTGTCTTCTGGATTAAGAAGCAAAATCTTCTTTTATAAAAAAAATAAGGGAATACCCTACATTTTATTGTAATTTTTAGCACTGGAATGTTCGATCGTTGCCACTAATTCGTAGAACTGGTGTTTGTCGATTTGCTTCCACTGTCTTTAGCTCTCATGATCTAGAACTGCTCCTGCGCTAGTTTGTTATACACGTTGGTCCTGTTGTTCTCTTCTTGGCAGCCAGCGCCGCCTCCATAAACGTCTTTCTTCTTTTGTTCTTCTTCCTGGACCAAAGCGAGAAAAAAAAACTACTGCAGCTTTCCCTCTTGCGTAGCCTGTCGTCCGTAAGACTTCTTCTACATTTGTTGTCATGGTTTGAGGTTGGAGATGGACATTACGTGAGGTGCGTCTCCGATTGTCCGTTTACGGAGACGGAGCAAATCTGACCAAAGGATGGAGGACGGAGGTTGGAGGAAAAATGCTCATGTGTGATAACCCTTTAAACGAGTGGTTAGACCAACACAGCCTTCGTAAGTGGACCTCCCGGGGGTAGACATAATGAAGTTAATACCAAGTCGAGTCAGACCACCATGGACTGCCCAGTGCACAGGGATCGGCAGATACACAGATCCGACAACAAGCTCCCAAATGGCGCCATGCTACTTCCCCGGAAGTATGGTAAAAAGGTGGTGTGAGATTACGTTTGCTTCCACTCTGGTGCTTACCCATCCCTTCCAGAGTGCAGTTGGAATGAGAAGGGAAAACCAATTGGAGTCAAAGTATCGAATCCTGAACCACGAATATGTTACTATGTCCTAAAAGGGTCAGAGACTCTGGGAGCTGAAGGCACCAGTGTCCAGAAATTTCTTATATGAGTTTGGTTCCAAATTTATTAAAACCACTATAGACCCAAGGACATCACGTTAATTGTTCCAGTATCCATAGAAAA